CTACTACTACTACTACTACTACTACTACTACTACTAGTACTACTACTAGTACTACTTCTAGTACTACTAGTACTACTACTACTACTACTACTACTACTACTACTACTACTACTACTATTTCTACTACTATTTCTACTACTATTACTACTACTACTATTACTAGTACTAGTACTAGTACTATTACTAGTACTAGTACTAGTACTATTACTATTACTACTACTATTACTATTACTACGACGACGACGACGACTACCACTACTACTACTGCTAAGTCGGTTGTCCGCGTATGCCCGCGTCAGATCCGTGACAATTGGGTGGAAAGCTCGAAATACTTGGCAGGCGCGGTGTTTCGTGAGTTTCAAACGTTCCTGTCGGCACGCATTTCTGGAAACAAAACTGCAATTTTGTGCACGAGTTGCACCCCTCTCGAAGTTTGTGCTTGCGAGCCGGGTTCGCTATTCGTCTACCTGCGCATCCTGAAATGAGTGACTAGGTACTGCGAAGCCCAGTACCGAAAATCAGCGAGCCCTTGGGCAAAATCCAAACCTTCAAAGGAGCGATTACTTTACAAAGCCCCAGAACCCTAATCGGTCAGACGTGACTTAATCACCACAATAGACCTAAACCCTGATGGAGTGGCTGCAAGCCCGAAATCCCAAACCTCCAAAACCCTAAATGTCGCGAGTCTATGGCCAAAACCCAAACCCTGAAAGAAGTGATCCCAAAACCCAAAACGTGTCGAGACCGGTGCCAAAGACCCAACTTTAGAACAACCGTTTTGTACAAGCCAACTGAGATGCTTGAGGATCTTGGGCACAAAGCTCCATGATGTCCCGTGCCAAAGATCTCGCTCCTCCGGAATCTGGTCCTCATGCGTCATCGTGTCTTTCAGGGCATCGTAGACGCTTTGTTGAACCAGAGACGCAGTGTATACCCCTGCCACTCGGCCGTGGAAACGCCCTGCCAGTTCTTTGCAGATCCTCGCTTCAACGTCCGGGGTGGCACGTGCTATCAGACCCGAGTCTTGCAGATACGAAGTTTCCGAAATGCCTTCTTCCGGTGACCATCTCAAGCGAAACGAGGCTTGCGATGGCGAGCCACGACTAGGAGGCGTGAAGGAAAGCGCAGGTGGCTGGCCAGAATGACTCCTCCGCTTTGTGGTGCTTGGGCTGCTGGGAGGGGACTTTGCTGTTCGTCGAACTGGAGCTGGTATCTGTGGTTCTTGGACACAACGTTTCTGGTGTGCAGCAAGCACCTCGGGCTTGAACTGTCGCTGGCACACCGGACAGCGCTGCAGCTGGTTGCAGAAGGCATTGAAGGAGTTGGTTGCTGCTGGTGGAGGTCTGGCGGGCATTGTCTGCCTCCGCGCAGGCCGCCTTGGTTCCTGTTTGGGGCGTTGCAAACATACTTTCTGATGAGTTTCCAGCCTACACGGAAGGAAAGTTCGCTTGCAGAACTCACAGGGCAATAATTTGGAGGGATCCGGCATGGGCTGCCGGGTTTCCACCCAATCTTCGAAGTTTGTTGCAAGGGCTTGTGGTCTGCTGCGGAGATTCTCGCAGTAGCTCTGCAGGCAATCTGAGCCAGCGGGGAGCTCCCACTCTTCCAGAAGCTGACACCGCTCTTGTGACGGTCGCTTGGACTCCTGCATTTCAAAGCGGCGCCTGCATGCTCTAGTATGCATCTCCAGTGACTTTTGCGTCAAGTACTTCTGACCACAGATGTAACACCGCAGTGGGGCTGGGGGTGCGCATTTCTCCAGTGCCGCCGCCGGATCCACAAAGGACAAGCCAGACATACAGAGTTGAAGCGCTTTACACTCATCACCTTTTGCGACGTGGAGGGCAACTCTGGCAACCTCTGGTCCAAAGCCCATGCTTTGCAGCTGCGAAAGCTTCGAAATACTCTCTGGATCGCTCCCATTTTTTTGCGCTTCCAGCAGGACCTGGCGAAGAAATCGGCCGTCTGAAAACTGAAGTGACACAGACGCCTCTGGGCTGCCGTGACATGCTTCTGCAGACATGGAAGGTCCGTCGTCTAGTCGATTCTACTGCAGGCTTGCAAAGTCTAGGCAAGACGAGCTGTGAGTCCTCTACTCCTACTGTATCTCGATTGGGGCCTTGCAAGGACCTCAGGCGTTGGGCTACCCTCAGTCGCTGGTCTACACCTCTTCGTGAAGCCCAAGCTGCGAAGGAAAAATGAGCCGGAGGATGACAAATACAAGGCGACAGGCAGTCAGAGGCACTGCTCAAAGAGCAAATCAGAGGAGCTTCTCCGCTCAATGTCAGTTTGACTGCGGTTGCCCCGTAATTTGCAGCCCCGAACACCTTTAAGCATGCAAAGCACCGCGACACAGCAGAGGATAGAAAGGCACCTGGGTGGCTGTGCCGTTTTCTCGGGGGTTGCCTGGCTGCGACAATCACAAAAGATAACACGATTTTGGCAGCGATGTTCGTGCATAAACTGCGGCAGGAGTGCAGAATTTTGCTGGTCAAAGTCTTTCATCAGTCTCAGCCTGCGTCCAGATCAAGTCGTGCCAAGCTGTAAGCCCGCACACGAAGCCCTGTCCCGGCCTTTTGCGCGGCGGAGGGGTTGGAGGAGAGACGACATTCTGTTTTGGCAGCCCCATGGCGGGCAAGTTCCAAGATTTCACGATCTTCACGACTTCACGACTTGCAAGTATTCGAGGCGACTTCACTCTGTGGCTGTCTAACCCACTCTTCACTGTCAGTGCTTGTGAAACAATACAAGCTTCAATGCTGCGAAGGCAACATGTGAGCATGTTTTTGACGCAGTGGATATGGCTTGGTGCTGCTTCCCTATGGTACGCACAACACCAAGATGCTTCAAATTTGCTCTTGGCTAATCTTTTTGCAGGCGCTCCCCAGCTGATGCATAGCAAACCATGGCGGGCACCCCTCCCGCACATCAGCCAGCGCAATTGCAGCTCTCATTGAAGAGTGCCCCAGCCCCGTACTAAAAACATAAGATCTCGACTTGAAGTAACCTAGCCGGACCTAGCCGCTGCTAGCCTTGGTTGATTGGACCTCTGCACTTGCAGGCCAAGCATTTGAATCCCTCTCAGGCTCGTTGTCCGCTAACCTGCCAAAACCACGGCTCCCCGTTGCAGGTGTCATCGGAACGCAGCAGCCACCTAGTTTCTTGAGATCCAGCCGCACCCGATCCTTCATTGTCGAAACACCTGGCTTTCAAGCAGTCTCGACTTGGCTGTGCGCTGGAGACTACGCTGATGCACCCTCGGCAGGCTGGATCCACAGCTCGGCAAAGGAGCCCAAAGCAGCCTTGTCGCGAAGGCGGCTTGTGAGGTCTCCAGAACTGCTACCATCGACCTAGCCTGTCGACACAAAGTTCCAGGATTGACGAAGAGTGTGTTCTCGACCACGGCCCTGAACGAGCTGAGGCTGAAGTCCGCCAGTCTCCCATCTCTCTCAAGTTCCATGCCAGCGGAACCCGTTCATGACGGCCAAAGGGGAAGGGAATATGCAGATTTGCGGCGCAATGCCATCCCAGGGGAAGTCCAAAGCTTTCGCTTTGGCCTCATACACCTCGAGTTCGTGCCAGAGACGAATGGAGAAGTGCAAGTTTGGACGGAGGAAACAAAAACGAAATGCAAGACCTTACGGCTGGGAAACGCACCTGAGCTGGGTCGCGAGGCACAGCAGGAAACAAGCATCTCTGCTTGAGCAGAAGCTGCAATGCCTGCCATAGCGGATGTAGATTTTCCTTTCCTGCCCTTCGCAGATTTCATGTCCATGCGGGAAGTTCAGTCGGACATTCCAAAGCATACAACCAGCGCAAAACAGGTGGCTCTTGGTTTCAAAACCTGTAGCGCTTGCTGGCCGGCCTCCTCGACTTTTCGTCCTTCTGGGCGCAGTACCATTTCACGGAGTATTGGGCTGAGCGCATCCGCAGAGGTGATGCTCACCTGCATGCGAACATGCCATTGCGGTATTCTTCTCTCTGAGCTTTTTGCTTGCACTTTCCTGGCATCCTGTAGCACCGGGCCTTGATGCCATTGATCTCAACATGAGCGGGGTTAGATAAGAACCGCACCTGGCGCCACAGGCCCGAAACGCCAGTTCAAAGAGGCTGCGCTCAGTCTTGCAGGAAGCCGAGCGGTAGCACAAAAGAAATGCATGCTGGCAACTCTCCCATCTGCTGCAATTGCAGTAGATCAGTGGCTTCTTCCAGCCATTGTGCAAGCCTCCAGCTGCTTGCGCCGTACTTTCCGCAGAATTGGCGATTTCCCGACTAAGGACATTGCATGATATCCATCGGTGGCTGCGGGAGCGGATGAAAGTTTACAGCCTTGTCGGTGTTGGCTTGTATCCTGTATCATCTCGCGCGTACAACATCGCATAACCTTGCCTCTTCCAGAGAAGGGATGATGAAGACCTGCACTCAGAGTAGGCTCAAGGCGATGCGCGGCTTTCTTTCCTTCGATGGAAGCCGTGTCACCTGTGTTGCTGGTCTGGCAGCGCGAAGCGGCTCCAATCCCTTTCGCAGCTCTGCAAACAAGTGGACATACACCTGTCCACAAGTTGTCCACAAGTTCACAAGCGACGCTCTCACAAACACAAGGGCTGGTGGCTCCTCCTCGAGGCAGGCCGGCTCCTCGGTGCAAGAAGACAGCCCTGGGCCCTGGTAAGGTCGTGCGCCCTGAGTTTTGCCATGCTCATCATGTCTGTCCTCGCTGCCTGAAAGGCTGGCTTCCCCTTCCATGACCTCACTGAGAGCAAGCTGCAAGGAGAGAACCAACTAGCCACAACCTGCTGCGCTGAGACAATGCCTTCGTGTTGCTTGCATCCAGAAAAGGCCCGAGAAGGATCAAGACCTGGCCATGCATGTGCTGTCCGAGCTCCTCGCAGTAAGAACTCCTTGCGCAAGAATGCCAGTAATCTTCAGTTGGAGCATGTGACGACGCTTTTTCCGCGATCAACCTTCCAATGTCGAAGAGCATGTGCTTCGCACAGGCTCGCAACAAATGGAAACCCAGTAGCTAGATAAACTGATGTTCCAGGTCTGCTAGTGTTGCGACCAATGCCAACTACCTCCTCCTCCTCCTCCTCTTCCTCGTCCTACTGCCTGCTACTGTTACCACTACTGCCGCTACTACCACCACCACTACTACCACCACCACCACGACCATCACCACCACCACCACCACCACCACCACCACTACCACTACCACCACTGCCACTACCATCACTAACACCCCCACTACTACGACGACGACTACTACCACCACTACTACTGCTACCACTACTACTGCTACCACTACCACTACCACTACCTCTACTTTCTACTTCTACTTCTACTTTTCCTGCTACTAACTACTACCACTACTACTACTACTACTACTACTACTCCTCCTGCTGCTGCTGCTGCTGCTGCCGTTTTTCTGGTGCGACTGCTGGTTTTCTCTCGTGGGGCGCGGTCCAGTTCGTTCTGGGTCTAGCATGCAAACATGGCCCACGCTCAGCCTGTTGTACTGCATGGTAGAAATAAGATCCCCAGAAGCTCCGGCTGGCAGTGGGAAACGACTCTTGAATTCCAGATACGGCAACTGGCGCTGGAGTACATGTGCCTGGGACTGCGGGTGTTTCGGATTTCAATGGGCACTAGCCTTGATCTGCAGAACATGCTGGGAGCTTCGTGGCTACACAACTCAGCTTATGCCACATGGAGTGAGGCATGGCTGTGGGTCCCGATGGAACATAGGCCCTCCTTTGTTGCTCGAACCTACGGCATCGACCCTATCTTCGCCCATAGCGGTTTGGAAGGAATCTACATGGCCAAGGTGGGTCGGCCCACAGAACTGGAGCACATGGACTAGTTCACAAGGCTGGAGCAGAGAGCCCAGGATGGACCCTAATGCATCAAAGAGAAGCCGAAACCCCACACTCCTATCTCTCCCGCTCTTTCTGCGACATCTACTGTTGGTTGGAGTTTTGACATGGGTCTGTGTGGCTAGTCTTTTCCAACCCTCTGATGGCGCTCCGAACCTTCTACCGCTTCGTGCTCGACAAGCTCGCCCGGCGGAAAGCTCAGGGAAAGCTGGGGATAATCAGTCTGGGATTCCGGGTTTTCTGCAAGGGATGATTCTGCTGGGATTTCCCTTCGAAGTTCACACTGAGTGGAGGTTCCCCTCCGAGAAAAGCTCCTGCTTGACTCAAGCCATCGGTTTATGCGGACCCACCATTCTCAATAGCACCTCTAGTGCCCTGCGGCGCAGGCCCTGCAGATATGCCGTGCCACCGAGCCTGGTAGCCGTGATCCTAATCATGCTCAGTTTCAATGGAGGTTCCCCTCCGTATGCCGTAGCCCTCTGCAGTGCCACACCAACAAGTTAGGAGGTTCCCCTCCGAGCTCATCACAAGCATGTGAACTCGTCAGGTCCACGGCGTGCCCAGTGGCAGCAGTTCGGCCGAACAAGGGCACCCAAGGACCGTGGCACATGTGCACACCGTTTCTGCAGAGCACTGTAGTGTGTGACCTCAACTGCAATCAGCTTCCAGGCATCTCCCTGAATGGTGTTCACTCCCATTGCCTTTCGTGGCCCTTTATCAAAGCTGCCCCCAAGGGAAGTCATAGGGCTGCCTCATGGGGGGTGATCACCTGCCGCACCTCCTTCGGGATGGTGCGGGAGAAGACGGCCAGAGATTACCGTCGTGAAGCTGCCAGGCCCGACAAATTCACTCGGCAGCTGATCAAGCAACAGAAGGGCCAAGGCAAGGGACAGTCAGCTGCTCATCAGGGAAGTGCTCGTTGGGGCTCAGGCTCGGGCTGGAATCCACACTGGAATCAAAGTTGGAATCAAGGCTGGCGATGGAACAGCCAGCGAGACAGCAACTGGTCTCAGGCTGTGGATCATGGCACAACCCGGCCACTGACGGTCTATGCAGCCTCTCCTCGAGTTAGAGAGCCGGAGGGACCGCCACCAGGTTCTCTTCCAGCAGTCCCGGAACCGAGGACGCCGCCTTTGGCCAGTGCACCGCTCAC